CATGAGGCCAGATGACAAAATAGTCATCCATGTATCTAACCCACAATTTTGGTTAGTATTGCCTCTTGTAAAGAGTGTTCCTCTAATTTTGCCATATAATTGTTCGCTAAGATGGGAGACAGGCAAGATCCCATCGCTAATCCTTGCGTTTGTTCATATAACTTACCATTAAAGGTAAACTATGTGGTACTCATGCATACTCATGTCTACACTTAACCTTATTCCTTGTGTTATATCTGGATGATCCTCCAAAGTTTGTATCAGAGCTTAAATAGCTCCTTGCACAGAATTGTTTGTGAACATGGACACGACATCAAAGCTTACTAGCTTATCCTCTTCTTAAATTGTCTGCTGATCTAGTAATTTCACAAAATCATACGAATTTTTAACTGAATATAGCCAATAATTGGCAGAGTTCCTTATTTGTTTGCATATTAACCATGAGAATTTATGCATAACGCTTCCTTTATTATTTACAATTAATCTTAGAGAGGCACCCTCTTTGTGAACCTTAGGGGGACCTTAAGCCGTGGGGGCCCTTGCAATAGATTGGACCATTCCAGTAAAGTCGGATTTTAAAATGAAAAGTCGAGTGACATTAAGCAAGTTTTTTGTTTTGGACTATCAACCTCATCTTTATCTGCCCATTTTGATATCTCTTATCGTCAGGTGTAGCTCAGCTTGGTCAGGCCACTTTGACTGACCCGCTAGACGACCTGATCTCGGGATCCTCCTCTTCTGACGCCGGTCAACCGAGTCGACCTAAGACCTCGTCTACCAGACGGCCCAGGAGGTTGGTCGGACTGACACCTCTGCGTGCTCCGCCCGCAAAGCCGCTGCCGGCTCTGTTGAGTGGTCAGCCAATGATTGTCTGTTTTATCGGTGGCTGCACTTTAGCGGAGGTGGCTGCACTTAGATTCGTTGCTGAGCGCCGCCAGTGGCACTTGATGATGGCGACCACATCACTTCTTCATACCCGTGATCTCATCCAACATGTGTCACAGGCAGCAATCAACAAGTGGCCCTGACCCATCTTCCAGAGACTTGTTCTCTCTTTCACTTTTTACTGCCTAAACTGGAGCCTTTACAAATATTCCTAATCGTCCATTTGTATTACTCTTCTTAGCCAAAAGATGCATAGATTCGGTTTCTATTCAGAACCAGAAGGATTCGATCTTTGATCACATTTCCAAAACTATTCCAGCTGCTTGTGTCTATGGATGACATGTGAGCGACTGGCCTATCTCATCTCAAAGAGACAGCGGTTTTAACTGAAATAATCTGATGAGTTTTCAACGTTAGTCAATGCCATCAAGTTATAATTGATAGATTCACGCGTCGAAAGCAGATTGCATCTTTATCCGAAACATTTGTTGTGTCGTCGCCTTCAGTTAGGTATAAAGTTCAGTCGATGGAAAACATACTTTTGGCACAATTTAAGGGCTCCTATTTATTACTGACGTCTCTGGATTTGAGTTATTTAAAATCGTATCCACTTGAGCATACTCTATGGTACGTCTTCTTTGTACTGCAACAAATTCATTCTAATAATATGAGATTTGACTAAAGAATTGTGCAAGATCCTATTCATCTTTATTATCCACATCTCTCTGTGTCTTTGTCCTTAATGTGCAAACCCCCAAATTGTACAAAATGTATATTTCTTATTGCCCTATCATCAATTCTGCTACAAATGGGATTTGGGCAAGTCCTAGCATGCTTTCACATTCACATTTGCTCTGTGACCCACTGGCATGTATTTTATTTATTTATTTTATATAATTCGTTCAGCGGACATTTAGTAAATAAGCGAAATATTTCATATTCCAATTGAATTTGGATCAGTATGAGTCAGTGGTTCTCAAACTTTTCCTAGTCGCGACGGCCATTTTCAATTAAAATTTTTTCATGGCGCCCTACCCTAAGTATGACTATTCGTAGGTAAGAGATAAAAATAAATAAAACTCGTATATCTTTATTTTTTAATTTATTGACATTAAATTAATATTTAATAATTAATGTGATGGATATGCCTGCAAATCATTGCACATTTTCTCAAATTGAAGCTTTTACAATAGCTCGCTGCGCCCCTGTAAAGAGGCCGCGACTCCCTGGGGCGCCGCGGCGCACAGCTTGGGAATCACTGGTATAAATGATATAATCAGAGGGGCTGAAGTGCGGCTCTGAAGCGGCCTCCCATCCAAATCTTCTTGATGGGCTCGCAGATTAGTTTGTTATCTTACTGGTTGACTGATTTCATTCGGTTCCAGTCACTATAAAGCGCTAATTCTCATAATTTGCAACATGTATTAGGTGGCACGTATTTGTCCAAATTTGTCCATATGATAAGGCTGACAATTTCATGCCTCCACCACATAATTGATTGAGTGGCCGAGAATGACGTCTAAATAATATGAAGTTGTGACTTCATTTCCTTGAGCATATTCCTTAGTGTCCCGTAGATCTTCGTGGTTGGATTCATCCTTAATATTTGATAAGTGTTCCGGTTGCCAAGGCTACTTTCCATTTTCTCCGTGTATTGTTTCTTTTCCATTACAACCGTCGCCCCCTACCCTTATCCGCCTGAATAACTATTTGATTATTCTGATGTATTTTTTTCCAAATACCAGCCAATCTGCTCCTTTGTATCGCTTCCTGATGTGCCAGGATCCGTGGGATTATTTCCAGTTTCATCTTCCGCCTTGTATCTTCTGGATATTTGTCAGTTATGTTGACAACTTCCACCAGAATATCACTAAGAATGTTTCCTTCATTACCTAGTGAAAAATGTAACCCCTTCTCTAAGAGATCCTTAGTTTCAGAATCAAGAGGGATTAAAGATAGATTTACTACCTTTGTCCTATCGTCGTCAGTAGTAGTTGATGCCTTCAATAAAGAACAATCAAAATTTGCCCGGGTTGGCTTGGTCTTGTGCTGTCTTATTATCCCATAGCTAAGCAATTTCTTGTCATGTTGCTTATTTATCAGATCCCGAACCTTCTGTGACTTCTAGTCCGTCATGCTCAGGAGTTTTTGAAAATCATCCAAAGTGAGAACCCTGCCTAGATCCTTCCTTAATCTAAACTTTAGATTTATGAACTTAAATAGCTTATGTCTCTAATCTCGTAACTTTACTCTAATTTCTGGACGGTGGCGTGATATAGTATTTCATTAACTGTGCCCGAATGATACTTCGTCATTAGATTGCAGAATCGGGCAACGATAATATAATGTTAGCAACAATTCAAAAAGGCCAAATGGCAGGATTGACTTACAATTATCTTCCCTGTCCTGCTATAATTAGTGCATTTCTTGGCAATCTTACTTTCATAGTTTAATCGAAGGTATGAAGACCAAGATGGTGTGGCCTTTTGTGTGGTCGCAGTCTCCTTTCGTTGTATAAAGGTTGTTTTTCCTTCTTTTCGCAACTTGGTCATATTGGTAGGAAGACTTAAAGGAACGCACCTTCTCCGGAGTCCATTGTATGCATAATCATTTTCAGTCGGTCCGTTGATGTGGTACATTCTCAGACGTTACGCCGGCGTCATATTCGGCATCGTCAGTGGGTTTTGCCATTCGTAGTACCATATTACAACCCGTCAGAGACAGGTGAAGCCGATCCTTTGACTAAACGTGTGCTAAACAGTTATGGTATCTCCCCTTCTGCCCTAGCCTATTCACATTTCCTATCACGCCTTTACTGTCACAACTTTTTTTACTTGCTAAATCAACTGTGGTAGAATGTGCGTTTTTGAGCGGCTTTCATGAAAACCCTCTGCACTCCACGCTGGCCTTCTCACCCCCTTCATCCTTGTGCTGGGGATGTTGATCAGAGTCTGCCATATTGTTACGCAGTCCTCCTTCCCTAGGTCTTACCACAGTCTCTCTATTGCCTCGTAAGATACGTCTGCCCTCTCCCTGGTTCACATATTTCACTTAAACCCTGTCACCCCATCTGTGATACTCGAGGCGTTATTCGCCCTCCCCTGTATCTGGGTGACTAATTCGAGACTAAAGACTCTGAGTAAGTCTCATGGTCAGGCCTTTGCCACATGAACCACGTCTTTTATAAAGCCTACTGTCAGCCCACTAGCTCCCATCGCCGCCGCGTCTATCCAGTTTCTATCTCTAATACCAAGTCTATGACTTCCGATGCCCTAGTCTCTTGTGTGCCAACCCACAAACGTTGTCGTTCAACATTGAACCGAGTCAAAGCAAGCATGGATCATTAGGCCTTGATGATCAGAGCCTGACATTAGCCTTTTGACAACTCTAATTTAGGACCGGTATTTCGTAAAGACGCTAACACGCCCACACACACACACACTCGATCAAAAGTAGTAGGACTAGTTTGAAAGAAAATTAGCCAAACCAATCTATATCTATTTAATTTTCTTTTGGCTTAATTGAGTCTATATAAGATGTGAGATAGAGCCGGATAGTCTTCTTGCCCTAGTGTTATCGTGAGACTTTTACAAGAATCAGACCCAGTTCTGATTATGTCCATCATATGATGGACTAAAGCTCAGCCTATTTTCACCCGAAACGAGAGATGAGGTCTCGTGTATTGCGTCAACCTGAACATAGTATAACTCAGAGTAATTACTAAGGTGGTCCAACTGTTTTGCAAAATTATGGAAGTCCCTAGTTCCAGGATCAAGTCATCAAGGCTTGGCCAACCAAGGGAAAGCGTGGCTATGATTGCGTAAGCCCGCAAGTAACTGGTTAAATTGAGATTTAAGCCCGTACGCTTGAAAGGCAGTTACAAAACCGGTCTACCCCATTAGTCTGAGGTAACTATGGTCTAATGGCCTAGGAAAAAAGACAATCGAGATTGTGTAATCTCGTACGTGTGCTTTAGTTGATGAGCTTAATTTGCCCGTTGAACAAGTGTGAATTTAGTTACAATCATCACTGCTGGCAAGTTGAATCGTATTCTTTTGAACGGCCACTCAACATCTCACTTCTTCAAGTTTTCAAGTAATTCTTACTTTCAATAGCCTCTCTTATTTTGCAATCCGTAGCAGATATACAACAAATAGAAAATCTCTGCGCCTGAGACCATTCTATCTCATGACCGCAATTCTTGGCGGATAGGCTGACAAGTATCACTAAAGTAAGGTCGACCATAGGAGCACACAATCTTGTAACATCCGGATCTTGATAATAGGGATTATTTATTTCTGAAAGAATGCATAATCGAAGTTTCAGGGTTTCCTTGACATTTCCATTTACCCCCAACTTTGTAATTAGCATGCTTGTTTCCTAAGAAAGAAGACATAACGCCAAGGTTATGATATGAATAAGGGTCTCAGTTTGCCTATCTCTGACTGAATAGTCTCCGTCTAAGAATTTATTCCTCATTAAAGAGATATTATTATCAATTAAGCCAAAAGGTTAATTATTTTTGATGATGAATCTTACGGTTTGTAGGGATGATAATAAGGTAATCAAAATGGTTTATAGGAAACCCGCATGCAGGTTTTATTCTGAATTTTATCACTAACCATAGAAGTAAAACTAATGTTGGAATTTTAAAGTTTGTGATTATCAGGAGTATATAGCTTGCAGATAGAAGGCATTTGAATGAAGAGTTAAAAATATATGAGTTGTGTTCACCTTATTTCGTTTAAGGTGATAAAAGACTGGTAGTGGAATTTTCCCACAATGATATGAGTAGAGCCAACATTTACATTGAATTTCACATAGCTTTGCTTTCCCAAAATGTGACCTCCCCCAGAATGGACTGTAGTTTTAATTTCGCCTAGGTTATATTAACACCCCAAGCGGGAGTCGAACCATGACAGTGCAGCGTGTAATCTCGAAACGTTAACCACTACGCCACATTGCCACGAGTGCTCTTGGGTCACAGGGCAGATGTGATTTTTGAGTAAAGTCTGGCATTTTCCGTATCACATTCTGTGTTGGGATTGTCGATGAAGCCAACTTATATTTGCTATAGCAATCGACGACATAAATTTGCCTCATCGACAATCCCAACACAGAATGTGATATGGGAAGTGCCTGA